CTCCTCCTCCTCCTCCTCCTCCTCCTCCTCCTCCTCCTCCTCCTCCTTCTCCTTCTTCTATCTGCTCACATACAGAAACCAACTTTATCTCTCCCAGATGGACATTTTACACTGTGCTCCTAGTTTCTGGGAAGGCTCCCCCTGGCACTCACTGTTCTCTTGCTCCAGCCGAAGAGGCTGCTGCTCCATAGGATCTCAGAAATTAGGATGGTGAGACATAAAGAGATTCCTGCAGAACTACCCCCAGTCCATTTATCATATCCATACAGACTTCCAATACCACCCATTTGCTGAATTACAGCTAGAAATCATTGGTTTACCTATCACTCAAAGTTAAGAATGCCATATCTGGATTGCCAAAATAGAAGTGATCTGAAGGTGGCAGCAACAAGATTAAGGGCTCAAATTCTCTACTGACATCTTGGTGGGCATCCAATTTTTTGCATCCCAGATATGGTAGAAGCTAGAATGGCAACAAAGGTCATCTTACTGGTTAGAATTAGAATAGAATAGAGCTGGAAGGCACCTTAGAGGTCTTCTAGTCCAACCTCCTGCTCAAGCAGGAGATCCTATGTCATTTCAGACAAGTGGCTGTCCAGTCTCTTCTTAAAATCCTCCAGTGTTGGAGCAGCCACAATGTTTGAAGGGAAGATGTTCCACTGGTTAATTGTCCTCACTGTTCAGAAGTTTCTCCTCAATTCCAGGTTGCTTTTCTCCTTGATTAGTTTCCATCCATTGTTTCTTGCCCTGCCTTCAGGTGCTTTGGATAATAAATTCACCCCCTCCTCTTTGGGGCAGCCTCTCAAATACTGGAATACTGCTCTCATGTCCCCCCTGGTCCTTCTTTCCTCTACACTGGCCATATCCAATTCCTGCAACTATTTTTCATATATTTTTGTCTCCAGGCCTTTAATAAGTTGTTCTTCTCTACACCTTTTCCAAAGTCTCAACAAGAAGAGAGGAAAGGAAAGAAGAGACTGAGGTCCCTTTTCCTGTAATCCTCCCTATACACATACTTTACTTCTTCAATTTCAATAGATTAGAAATTCTCGTCAACATATTTAATATTAGATTTATGTTCACCTAATATTAAAATGTGTTTTAGTCCCAAAGAAAGTGATTCTCATCATCATGACGGATAACAATACCCTATCGATTCCTAAAAAATTTTTTTGCTCCACTTCATTTTAGCAAAGTACAATTTGTGCAAGTTAGTAATCTGTGTTGTTTCCATAATGATTCATGAAATTCAGTATGTCATCATGGCTTCTATCAGGGCACAATCCCCTTTGCTGGAAGTTTTTGAGCAGCAGCTAACTGACTAAGATGTTGAGACTCTAGAAAGCATGCAGAGAAGTGCAACCAGGATGATTAGGGGAGTGGAGGCTCAAACATACAATGAACGGTTGCAGGAACTGGGCATGGCTAGTCTAGTGAAGAGAAGGACCAAGGGAAACAGGATAATAGTCTTCCAATATTTGAAGGACTGCCACAGAGAAGAAAGGGTCAAGCTATTCTCCAAGACCCCTGAAGGCCAGATAAGGAATAATGGATGGAAACTGATCAAGGAGAAATTCAACCTAGAAATAAGGAGGAATTTTCTGACAGGGAGAACAATCCACCCATGGAACAGAAGCTGCCTTCAGAAGTTGTGCAAGCGACATCTCTGGAAGCTTTCAAGAAGATATCGGATATCTGTCAAAAATGGCATAGGGTCTGCTGCTTGGGTGGGGGGTTGGACTAGATGACCTACAAGATCCCTTCCAACTCTGTTAATCTGTTAACCACCTGTTTGGGTTACTTTGTTTTTGATTTGCTACCTTGAGCAACAGTGGGTCTTTCTCACCTTATGGGACCCTTCCAAATGATGGATTCTGGGATTGCATAAGTAATTTTATGTAGTAATCCTTCCGTTCTTTTGTGAAGCTTTCCATGCATTGTTTTTTTAAATGTCTTTAATATGGAACAGGACATCCTCCTCATGCTATATGCTCTAAGTCAACCGTATAAGATTTCTAATCCTGTTTTTGTTCCATCTGCCTGTGTACATACTATTACTGTGTGGACAGTTAATGTACACAAAGAATGTGTGTTTTATAGTCAGTTGTCCAGAGAAGAGTTTGGATAGGCCTCAAAAATTACATGGCATATATCCTTATGAATGAATTAGATCATCTTATGGAAACCTTAGATGTGCAAACAATTTCCAGGAGAAAGAATTACATTCTCTCTTTCCTTTGGTCTACTGTATTGTCCAAGAACATGGTTTATTGATTTTTTACATATTATATATATCTTATTTCTTAAAGAAAATCAGTTTTGACAGATGATTATTCTATAAAATCTTTTTCCGTAATGGAACAAATATGTAAATAAAACAGAGGGGACAGGTAAAGAAAGAATACAAGACAATAATTGTATTGACATACACTATAAATTGAAATGTTTCACTGTTCCTCAGTATTTAGACCTGAAGTGAAAAGGGTAAGTTGAAATCCTTCATTCAAAGCTACAACCTCTATCTAGTTTGTTGTGAATGGGGTCCTAACATTTTAGGACTTTCTTTTGAGTAGATATCTATGGAATTCCATGGTACGTTTTAGAATTCCACAAAGATGCATGCCATTTTTAAAATTAATACATCGTGCAATAATAGTAATTAATAGTCTGTTGTGCTGACTTAATTGGAATTGGAATTGAAAAGGGGGAGAAGGGCAATTTTAAAGTAATTTAAATATATAATTTTGGAATAAAGAAGGGTAGCCCTATGTTGTCATTTAGATATGTCCATCTTTTAATTTATCAATTTGAAGAAAACGCTGTTGAGAATTTCATAACTACCAGTAGAATAAAGGTTTAAAAAGGGAGGAAGTATCAAATATTTTCTAAATAAATGATAACAAAATGATTTCCAAGGGTCTCCTTTACTGCTGCAGACTGCAATTGTTAAATTTGTGTCGATTACCAAGTAAAATAAAACACAATGAGGCCATTTCTCTATCAAAAAAACATTTTAATGTTTGCTGGGATGGCCAAATAGACTGCTTTCATTAGAAATAATGCTTTTTGTGGAAAACAGAAAAGAAAAATGAAATTTTGATATACAGCTTTGAGGATTAGACTAAAAGTAAAAGACCACAGGAAAAACAAAAGCTTTACTGTAAAGGGCAAGAGGTTAGCTGATATACTGCTATCAAAGAAAATTGGAAATCACTTCTTTATAATCCTTTTGTTTCTGTTCTTCAATTTCTCCATTTTTGTTTTTGCTCTTTTCTTCCCTGGTTTTTTCCTCATTTTCTATTTTAAGGATTAGTTCTGATTAGTTTTTATTCTGTATTCACAATTTTAACAAACATTTTTTAAAGAAGAAGAATATGTTCACATATTGCTTGAATCCGCATAATGGACTAGCTTTGACTTGTTCCTATTGTGGTATGATAAAAGTTTGAACTGGTGGAACTTAATTTATGAAAATCAGCTGGGTGACTAATTTTGATACCCTAAACTGGACCAGATGTGGCTACTACTTGGTTAGGCACAGAAAAGTTAAAAAGGCAAAGAGAATCCACTTCCATCATTTTGCTACATGAATGTGTTTTTGAAGTCACCAGGAATTGAGTTTAACCTGAAGAAGATCTGATCTTCCCATAGTGAAGTGGTATAACTTTTTGAGACACGGAGATGCTGCATAATGCAATGTTATGGATCTTCATCAGCCAAAATCAAGATTGTTAATATGCACTTATGCTTTCCATAAATACTCTTTCCAGCATCAAATTGTTCACAGAAGTACAAGTAGCTGTTTTCATCCTAAAAGTGAAAAACTGAGGTATGGATTATGAAGGAAACCTTGTTTGATGCACGGAGGGTGAAATGCTGCAACTCTGGCTGATGTTTTTTTTAACTGACTCCTTAGCCTATGTTTTACTTTTCACCACTCACCACACCAACATTATTGATCACCATGCCATTCCCTAATTTAAATAACCTGCTCATTATATGTATGCTTAAGTCTCTTCAACCTTTTTTTTTTTCAATTCATTGTAAGGCATTTTGGAAATAAAAGATTATTTGGATGTAAGGCCACCTGGTGAAAATATTTTTTTTCTTCCTTTAGTTGGTTGGGAAAGGATGCTGTCCTCCCAGCTGGTTCAGATCCTTGCTTTAACAGCTGCGTTGCTGATAGAAGCTCATGCGCAGATAAAATGTCCAGGTAAGCTTGGAAATAACAAAAACGTCGATGGTAATGATTAAGTGACAAAAAAAATGCAATTGTAAATAATCAGAGATTATTTTGTTGCTAAGGAACAGAAGAACATTCTGTGTGGTTTCTCGAGTCAACATTTTACTGGTGAATTCTTCAGGGGGGAATCTATAATCATAGAGTGGAGCTTTAAAATGGGAAAAGGAAAGGAAGGGAAAAGAAAGGAGAGGAGAGGAATGAAAAGGAAAAACAAAAGGAAAGGAAAAGGAAAGGAAAGGAGAAATGAAAAAAAGAAAGGAAAAGAAAGGAAAGGAAAGGAAAGGAAAGGAAAGGAAAAAGGAAAGGAAAGGAAAGGAAAGGAAAGGAAAGGAAAAGAAAAAGGAAAGGAAAGGAAAGGAAAAAGGAAAGGAAAGGAACAGAACATCATAGATATTGTATATCCCAATTTGAGAGTTTGGGTTATTGAAGTTCAGGATATATTCATGTTTCTACAGCAGAACAATGAACCGATCCCCTAAAACTCCAATGCTCTTTTATATCTGAAATTTGAAATTGGTGCCCAAGGATGTTAAAGAGTATATGTTTTCCTTTGAACAGGTCCCCAAGGACCTCGTGGGGAAACTGGACTTCCTGGCCCTCAGGGACCAAAGGGCGATCCTGGCATCCAAGGACCTGCTGGTCCAACAGGTGATGGAGTATCTTCCTTTTCGTTGGCTTTCCTTGGGCTCCCAAACCTGAGTAGATACGCTTGTCCCAACCTCTAGCTTTGCCCAATTCAAAATTCCAGGCAAAACACATGAGAGTCCTCCTCTTCCCCTTTTTTGAAATCCCTTTGATTCCTATATTGCCCGATGAAATGTCGTGGTGTATCACTTGATGCACTCAGCAGCTGGCAAAACACTATTTTGCAAGACTGCTTAATCTTTATGGAGGATATGCGCTCCGAAAGGGTTTAGAAGTGCCCCTATTTTTGTAAGCGGGTTTCTTCCAGACAACAATTAGTGCCTTCCTACATTAAGGCAATCATCTTCTAGGTATTTTCTTCAATGAAAAGGAGACCAAGCTGTCCTTGTGTTTTGTTGTGTTGCCTAGGCAACTGGGCATTTGTTTATCAATGTATTCAATTCATTTGCTGCCCATCTCGCTGATTGGGCAGCTTTCAATCTGATCAAGTGGTTTTTGTAAAATATTAAAATAGTAAGAGAATAAATACATAAAAATTAACAAGGAAAGAGCTAAGATAGAGGGGCAGGTACACAATAGAGGTGGGATGCCTTAAAGGAGGAGCTGCAGTAGTGCAGTGGTCAGATTGTGGTATTACAGGCTACTTCTGCTGACTGCCAGCTCCCTACAATTCAGCAGTTCAGATCTCACCGGGCTCAAGGTTGACTCAGCCTTCTGTCCTTCCAAGGGAGGTAAAATAAAGACCCAGATTATTGAAGGCAAGAGACTGACTCTACACCACTTAGAGAGGGTTGTATAGCACTGTGAAACAGTATATAAGTCTAAGTGCTATTGCTATCTTCCAATCCAGTAATCATTCTCCAGAATGACACAGCCCTCTCTGCCCCCGGTCTCCAGGGCCAATTGCAAGCGCCTGGCTTTAAGGTTTTTTTAAGAAGGTCCAAAGAGTGGGGTCAGATCTCCTCTTGAGGGTCATGATGGGAGCACCATGGCAGAGACACTTCTTCTCCTCAATCCTGCCACTCAAAATCCCTTGGCTAATGGGTTCCACAGGATGTCCCTTCTGTAAGTGCCAGTGGGGTGGGCCAAATCCATGACATGTTAATTTGGTAATCAAGTGCCCCAAAACTTGGAAGCAGGAGGGGTGAAAATCAACAGGAACTCGTTCCACAAAATAAAGATGGATGAGACAAATGCTTTGAAAGGATTCACCCCTTCAAACTACAGCCTAACTTATGAGAGTTAGTGTACAGATGCAAATCAGTTAGGAGAAACCTTGGCTTCATAGAGATGTTTGCCTTCTTGCCATCCCGAGATGGTTATTAGTTTTGCTCCACAATCTGCCTTTGCCTTCCCAGTATGCTGCTGTGGACTTCAAATCCCATAATTACTGGATTGAGACCTGCCCAGAGTTGGTTAAAAGATGGACCACTATAGAAATGGGCCACTGTAGAAATGTTTTACATCAATAAAGAAAAGAAGGTTTATAGCTATCATATACCCCAGCTTTTGAGAGTTTGGGTCATTAAAGATATATTTATGTTTCTACTACATAATGAACCAATCAACCAAAAATTCAGCGCTCTCTCTATCCAAAATTTGAAATAAGTGCCCAAGAATGTTGCACAATAACATCTCTGTTTTCCTTTGAACATGTCCCCAAGGACCTCCTGGACAAAATGGACCTCCTGGCCCTCAAGGACCAAAGGGCAACCCAGGTGTCAGAGGACCTGCTGGGCCACCAGGTGATGGAGTGTCATCCTTTGTGTGAACTTTGGGGGGGGGGGGGAGTTCCCGGATCTAAGCAGATATGCTTTGTCCAATCCAGAATCCCAAACAAAAACTATGCCAATCCTTCTCTTCCCTTTTGAAAATCTCTTTGATTCCTATATTACCTGATGAAATGTTCTGATCAACTTCCTGATGCCTTCAAAAACTATTTTTTGCAAGACTGCTTCATCCTAATAGAGGCCATGCCCTCTGAAGGGGTTTAGAAGTCTCTTATTTTTGTAAACTGTTTTCATCCAGATGATAATTAGTGCCACTCACTCCATCATCTTCTAGGCATTTTCTTAAATGGAAAGGAGATTGAGCTTTCCTTGTGTGTTGTTGTGTTGCCTAAGCAGCTGGATGTGACCAATGAATTTGGCCATCAGGCCTTCCACCTCTTGGAAGTGGGAGGGGTGAGAATCAACAGGAATCCCTTTTATGGAATAAATAGGGATGAGACAAGCTCTCTGAAATGATTCACCTTGAAGCAGAGGGTCAATTATGAGAGTTGAGTAGAGAGGGAAATTAGTTGATGAGAACCCTTGACTTCACGGAGATGTTTGCCTTTTGTATTCAAAATATAGTCATTGGTTCTGCTCCACATTGGTTCAGCTCCTATTGTCACCTTCCCAACCTGGGAAACTTTTGGTTTCAAGTTCCATAATTGCAAAGAGACATCACTTTTTAGAAAGCAGGATGGAAAACTCCTAGGCTGGTGTAAATACAAGCCACGGGTAGACATCTGAAATGTTTAGCAAGTGGAATGAGGTTGGTAAAGCAAAATCCATTCCATGTAGAATTGTATCAGCTTGATTTTCTTTCTCCCTCTCCCCTCCCCCAAAAAAGTTCTTTAATTCCAGTCTAAAAGATTTACTTCAGAAAGCCACTGGCAATTGAAGTTTGTTCAAACTGTATTGGGTATGTCTAGTTTGATGAAAAGAAGGACTAGGGGTGACATGATAGTAGTCTTCCAATATCTCAGCAGTTGCCCCAAAGAAGAGGGAGTCAAGCTATTCTCCAAAGCTCCTGAAGGCAGGACAAGAAGCAATGAAGGAAACCAATCAAGGAGAGAAGCAACTTAGAACTAAGGAGGAATTGCCTGAGTGTGAGAACAATTAATCAGTGGAACTGCTTGCCTCCAGAAGTTGTGGTGCTCCATCACTTTTTTTAAGAAGAGGTTGGACAGCCATTTGTTTGAAATGCTATAGGGTTTCCTGCCTAAGCAGGGGGTTGGACTAGAAGACCTCTAAGGTCCCTTCCAACTCTGATGATGATGATGGCATTAAAGTCATTTCTGGATCACCCAGTTTTAACCTTAATGGACAATAATTCTTTGGATGCACCATAAGGTCCATGCCTAAGCAGGGGGTTGGGTTGGAAGAGGTCCCTTCCAACTCTGTTATTCTATTTCTGTTCAAAGTTTGATTTGTTAGTCTAAGCAAACTTAGTTCTTTTAACAAGCAGAGTCCTACTTGTCAGTTAATTTAAACCATGAATGTATTGGGTTTAAATCTTAATTTTGCCTTTAATTGAATTGTTCGTTTTAGTTTTCTTACTTCTTGTATTTACTGTCTCCTCTTTTCTCCCGGCAGACACATCTACATTAAACCATTATGTAGAAACATCTAAACTACAGACTTCTCCACCCCCCACTGAAATACATGAACACTTGCTATACAAGTGTAATGTATACTCACTGGGTATGTAGCCCAGAGAATTCCCAAAAGAGAAAAGAGAAAAATTGCTAGAATCTATCATACTGCAACCATTTCTAGCTCTGAAATTTTGTCCATCTGCAATGCAAATCTTTCCCAGATCACAGACTGAGTGAGGCCATAAATTCCAAACTGCCAGCGTGCTGTGAAATGCAAAATTATGACTTGGATTTCAGCTGTAGAATATTAATTATTTGATTTATTGCCTCCTGAGGAAATGCTGCTAAATAAGATTCTTACTCAATTGGTTAATCTTGCATAAAGTGTTTGCAACATCCCAAATTCACTAGCCTTCCTATGTAAAGTTAGCCACTAGAGGGAACTATTTACTTTCAAACTAAAATACACCTGCTCCCAACTCCTTTGAAGTAAGAGCTAAAGAAAACAATATATATTTTTTCCTGAATCAAAACAACAAATCTTTGGCGAGATTAGTAACTTCTTAAATGTTTTTTAATTGAGAATCCTTCCTTTGAGTTTCTATTGTCCCAGGAAATCGAGCATTTATATAACTCTGAGAAATTTCTTACATTCTCACAGGGTGGATGTAACTTAAAACAAAACATATTGCCATCTTCCAGGTTGTATTAGTGTTTCAGTGTAACCCATTTTTCCTCTATTCTTTTTCTTAAGTTTTAAAAATAAATTTTATTAATCATATTTTCATCATAAAAACACATTTCCACTCTTTACATCGTTTCAGAATCGGTGGTCACTCACATTGACATATTTTCTAATTATGTAGGTTGCTACTATATATTACATATTTGTTTCTTCATTCAAAATAAACCAAATATTTACAAGCGTAACAAACAGTATTTATCTGATCTTACTATAGCTCCTACATATCCTTCACCTATCAGTTTTGCGTCTACCTTCCAACCAATTGTACCATAAATTCCAAATCTCATAGTACTCCATTTCTTCTCTGTCTTTTAATTCCATTGATAATCTATTTATCTCTGCACATTCTATTCCTCTATTCTATATATCTTTGGCACTAACAATATCTAGAGCCTGAGAGGAGGTAAGTGTTTTTTCCCAAAAATGTTTTTTCCCCTATACTGTTGCTAAGAGCCAGTTTGGTGCATAAGGCTAAAAATCAGGTGACTGTGAATTCTAGTCCTGCTTTAGGACCAAAACCAGCTGAGTGATCTTGGCTAGCTAGTCCCTTTCACTGAGCTGTAGGAATGAGGAAAGGGCAAAGACCTTTCCAAAATCTTGCCATGAAATATGTATTTTTTATGGACGGAGGTGTCAACAATAATTTGAAGACACACAAATAGCCACTCGTTGCTAACCTTGGCTTACCCATATTAAAGGACTTGGTGGGAGGGTTTGCAAGAGCCTCTAATTAATATCTTTTATGGATGACCAGAGTCTTTCATTTCAAAAAGTTGAATAATCAGTGTGACATTGGCTTCATGGAAGTATTCAGAGAAAGAAAGACATGAAACTGTGCTTACTACACAAAACAAAATCCATTTGCTTCAATTGAAAGACTGAAGAAATATTCCAGGCTTACAAATCAATCAAATAATCATTCTGGTTTTTTTTTTAATCTGTCAGACTATTGCCGATTTGTGTTCCGATGCATCGTTAAAGAAAAGAGACGTCCCAAATAATTTCACAGGATCAGATAGTCACGTCATGGTAATCATAACTTCAGTCAGACTATCTGACAAGGAATTTCTGTTATTTTTCATTTGCAGGTGTGCCTGCCAGCCAAGATCCTAAGCTACAAAAGGACATCAAAAAACTTCAATGCAGACTGGCCAGAATGGAAAAAGGTATTCTTTTTTAATGGCTTCCCTTTCTCTTTTTCAGATTAAAAAGTTAAAAGTTTGGATTAAAATACATCCATGCTTTCATTCCTTCACTTACTCATTCATTCCATTTGCATAGCCAGCCACTTGCCAGCCAGTGTGCTGTAAGCACCAGGCTACAAAACAGGAGAATGTGAATTCTAGTTCTGCCTTAGCCATGAAAGCTGACTGGGTGACTTTGGGCCAATCACCAGGAGACTGTGAGTTCTAGTCCCACCTTAGCCAGGAAAGCCAACTGATTGACTTTGGGCCAATCGCCAGGAGGCTGTGAGTATGGGTAGGAGGCTCAAGCACAGCAGGCCTTCAGTGGGGTGGGATGGGGGGAGAGAGAGAGAGCAGGAGGACTCTGCACCAACCCTGTGGTGGGTCATACTGGGGAGCTGCAGCCATCATAATTTTGAAAGGGGGCCATAAATAGCTCTTTGAAGGTCAGTCATAATTCCGAATGCTCACTAAATGGTCCGTTGTTCTTTGAGGGTTATATATATGGAAATGGAATCTATCCAGTTCAGGGTGAAACTGTGGGATCTTTGATGCTCTCTGAGCTTGGCCATTGGCTCGTAGATGCTTGTGATAGTTGGAGAATGAAAAGTCTGCAAGTCAACCACCAAACTCAGGAAGCATCAAGGATTCCGTGGGTCTTCAATTTTTATTTTTACAAAAAGGCTGGCAGGGTTGAGGCCATCTGGATGATCTAAGCAAGGCTTCCAAATTTCTTGACAGCTTTGACCTTGGAAGGAAAGATAGCGATTGTTGGAGATAAGCTGTTCGCCTCTACTGGGAAGTCATCTGTGTTTGGGCAAACAGAAGCGACTTGCCAAGAAGCCCACGGCTCCATTGCTGCACCAAGGAACCTGAATGAGAACAAAGCTATTCAGAAGATTGTGCAATATTATAACAGTTACGCCTATCTGGGTATTATGGAGAGCGATCAGCCGGGGAAATTCCATTTCCAGAATGGGGAGCCTTTGAATTTTACCAACTGGTACAAGAATGAACCTTCAGGTCAAGGAGCAGAAAAATGTGTGGAAATGTACAATGATGGCACTTGGAATGATAAAATGTGCAACAATTACCGCCTTGAGGTCTGTGAATTTTAAGACCAACCCAAGGTTGAATGTTCCTTAAAATATAACTTGGTGTGATTCTTCTGTCCACCCCCCCCCCAAAAAAAATCAATAAAATTCCTTGGCATTTCTTTTGCTTTCATTCCATCTACTGTACTCAAAAGGCAAGGATTTGCATGTTCAGAAACCAAAAAGCTACTTCTAGGATGTGGGTTAAGTGTCATAAAGACCGTGAAAATAAATTAAAAAAGAAATTAGACATACTGTCATCCTCCAACAGGGAAGATAATATCCAGCTAGGATAGAGAGGTGGGGTTATACAGGCAGCCCTTGATTTACAAAAGTTCATTTAGTGACCAATCAAAGTTACAACGGCACTGAAAAAAAGTGACTTCCGAATGTTTTTCACTCTGACGACTTCGATTTTGAAGCCACGATGTCCTTCTTCTTCTTCCTGGATCTCGTTTGCCTTCAATCTTTCCCTGGAGGATTAAGTGAATATGGCATATTTTTCCGGGTGTCACATCAAATGTCCGAAATATTCTAACCTTCTCTTTTTTTTTCCATTTTGATTGGCTTTCCCAGGTATATAAAAGATACCAATTGCTAGGTATCAATTGCACACCTCTTAACATCTCACTCCAGAGGATGTCCCCCCACCCATTGCTTTCATGTAGATGCTTAAGAGCTTGGGAGGCAGGATGAAACCCTGAAGCACAAAGTGCCAGTGGCAATAGGTCAGTCCGAGAACTATTCCTCACTCTGATTTTTAAAAAAGATAACATGATCAAAGCCAAGAATTGATGCAAACTCCCTGCTTTCACAAACATCTGAAAAAGCACAAGGAAGGCAAGACTTTTGCTATCTTAAGGTGCTTAAATATAAGGTGACCAACTTTTTTACAATGAAAAGGAGGACACAAATAAATTGAGGGGAAAAAAACAAAGCAACTTGTGCACGGCACACTCTCTCAAAACAAAATTCTCCTGCATAGCGCATGCATCTCATAATCGCATCTCGCTGCACTGTACAAAGCCTTGACGAATCGTCATGTCAAATACAAATATGTCACAACACACACAACGGATCGGATCGGCATCGATCAAATACAAAGATTTACAGATTAGTCTTCAAATATCAAAAAGGAGGACACTTTTTGAGGGAGGACAGAACTTACAAAAGGACTGTCCTCCCTAAAGGAGGACGGTTGGTCACCTTATTAAATACAGTTATTTTCTTGGAAAATAGAGTGTTTATTAGAAATGTTTAGCTGTGCCAGTCCTGGGAAAACTCCAAGGGCTGTAAGCAGGGACTATGTTAATGGATAATAACAGAAGGCCACAGGCTGATATTAATCACCACAGCAATTATTTTTACAATATCCAAACCGTTTGCATGACCAATAAGCTTTAGGGTTAACAAATGCTTCATTTGTCTTTCTTGTCAAACTCTGGGTGTGTTGGAGCAACCACTTATCTGGGGTATTGTCATTACGACCGACCATGTTGAACATCTGAGGAGGAACTGGGGTAGAAGCAGCCTGAAATATTCATGATGAAGTCTGGGGAGAGGGGAAAAGGGACTGTGTCCCTTTAAGAACCAGGTGGGAGGTGGCACAGTATAAGCACTGGAGTTACCTGTTTAGTATGGTTATGACAGCTATTTCCTGGCTCATCGGTCTGAAGGCTTGCTTGGATTTGTACGGCTTTATTACCCAGATGGAGCATAACGTCCTTCAGAGGTGGGGAAAGTTTTGTCCTGCTTAGCAGCCTGAATGGAAACAGAAAAAAAAAACACCTTTGGAGTGGTTACAGACACCTTTCTTCTATCTAAAAGGTGAAACAGGTGGACAGAAGGTAAGCAGCTGCTTCATCTAGTCTTATCTGTGGGTTAGATCAACTTTTGAAGTATGGAAATGGGAACCAAGCATCTTCTTTTCCAAATGCTCCATTTGGAAGAAATACACGGTCCATCCTCAAAATGGTCACCACACTATAAAAAGATGTTGAGACTGTAGAAAGAGTGCAGAGAAGAGCAACCAGGAGGGTGAGGGGAGTGCAGAATGAAACATACAATGAACTGTTGCAGGAACCGGGCATGGATAGTCTAGGGAAGAGAAGGACCAGGGGAGACAGGATAGCAGTCTTCCAATATTTGAAAGGCTGCCCCAGAGAGGAAGAAGGGGACAAGCTATTTTCCAAGGCACCTGAAGGCCAGACAAGGAATAATGGATGGAAACCAATCATGGAAAGATTCAGCCTAGAAATAAGGAGAAATTTTCTGACAGTGAGAACAAGCAATCAATGGAATAGAAGTTGCCTTCAGAAGTTGTGGGAGCTTCATCACTGAAGGCTTTCAAGAAGAGATTGGACTGCCATCTGTCAGAAATGGTGTAGGGTCTTCTGCTTGGGCGGGGTTAGACTAGATGACCTACAAGGTCCCTTCCAACTCTGTTAATCTGTATAATGTTAAAAAATGAAAATATCTTTGTCTTTCCTAAGGTTGCTGGAGAGAATTATTTAGTAGGTCAGATTTTTGGAAAATCCCTTCCCACCCTCAAATTTCTGTATTAAGCTGCGGCTATTAAAAGAAGGGGAATGTCAAAGGTTTATTTTATTTATTAAAGGTTATTTACCTGATCTGAAAAGAAACTAGAGGTGATTTGTACAGAGCGGCTGAAAGATTCAAAGAGTTTTTTGCACTTTAAATGGGTCACTAGTACTAAAGCCAGTCAGTTTTGCTGGTAGGGAAGAGTCGGTGAAAGCAAAATATTTAGATTCACTTCAATTCACTTCATCTTCGATTCAGTCTTCTAGTTCACTTTCGGATGAGAAAAAAATATTGTCTGTGGCTGAACTGACAACCATCCAAATTACCTAATCAATCTGAAGCATTGGATCAAATCGACCTGCCTGTTTGATCTACACCTTAAGAGGTGTAATTTAGAAAATCAACCTTGCACAAGAGCCCTTATTGAATATTTATTTTTATTTATTAAATTTCTGTGTCTCCGATGACTTTACTCTTGTGATTTCTCTACAACCTTTGATCATTGTCTTCTTTACTTCCTTGATTATTTAAATTCCCCTACAAAAAATATAACCAGGGATTGCCATTAATTGGAGGGGGAAAAATTTGAGTGTTTCCTAAATACATGGCAACCCCATAGAAGAAAGAAGGCTGATTAGAAGATATTATAGATGGGATCACAAACAAATGGAGTTTAGATTGAACAACAGAAACCTCAGTTCCCATCATCCATTTCTAACAGCTGTCAATCTTCTGTGGTACCTAAACACAAGATCTGGATTTTCCCTTTTTCTTCTACAACCATCTGCAAAAAAAACCCAACCTATAAATAAACAAAGAGGAAAGGGAAAACAGGTGATGAAAAGCTCAGACATGAAACATCAACTGGCACACAAAAGTACTTTTATTGTAAACACAGCTGGTTACACAGACCCATTTCCCACCTGTTTGTTTTGCTTGGTAAGATATACCTCATTGGGTTGCTCTTTTGTGTTTGCAGTCCTCTTACTTTTTCCCCTTCTGATTGGAATTGCAAATTCATCATCCAGGAGTGGAAACAGAAGAGGGTGAACAATGCTTTATATAATTCAAGCACAGGGTGAAGAAACGGAAACCTCTAAAAGTTGGTAGAACTTCCAAGTTCTATCAGTGTAGGCATTAGGGATTCAAGTGGCTGAGAATGACAGTTTCATGCCATCTGGAGGGTCCCAGTTAAAGTAGGTGACCAGTGAAAGCCAATCACTTATTTCTTGATTCATTTATGGGATCAGAACTCTGTCTTGCATTTTCTCCAGGATCACAAGGTAGCATTTTGAAAATCTCCATTTGGTTCCCACAACAACTATGTGAGGCTGGCATGTCCAAAGTAATCAGAGAACTTCCAATGATAAGAGAGGACATCTAACAGATTAACAGAGTTGGAAGGGACCTTGTAGGTCATCTAATCCAACCCCCCACCCAAAAGCTTCCAGTGATGAAGCTCCCATGACTTCTGAAGGCAACTTCTGTTCTGTTCCATGATTGCTCTCACTATCAGGAAATTCCTCCTTATTTCCAGGTTGAATCTCTCCTTGATCAGTCTCCATCCATTATTCCTTGTCTGGCCTTCGGGTGCCTTGGAAAATAGCTTGACTCCCTCAAATATTGGAAGACTGCTATCATGTCTCCCTGTCTTTCTCTTTACTAGACTAGCCAGGCCCAGTTCTTGCAACCGTTCATCATAGGTTTTAGCCTCCAGTTCCCTAATCATCCTGGTTGCTCTTCTCTGCACTTTTTCTAGAGTCTCAACATCTTTTTTATAGTGTGGTGATCAAAACTGCATGCAGTACTCTAGGTGTGGTTTTACTAAGGCTTTATGGAGTGGTATTAGTACCTCTCTTGATCTTGATTGTATCCCTCTGTTAATGCAACTTAGGATTGCATTGGCTTTTTTGGTTGCCACTGCATATTGTTGGCTCATATTTAATTGGCTGTCTACTAAGACTCCAAGATCCTCACTCACATGATGGTGAGCCTCCCTAATCCTAGACAAACATTTTAGCAAGGGAACTGATTGGATCCTGACGTACGTATCTATGCCTTGTCTTATATACAACAATTTAAAGAAATATGAATATGTTCATACAAAAAGAAGTAAAATAATACACTACAGCAGTGGTTCCCAACCTTTTTTTCGCCCCGCACCCCTAAAGAAATTTCACTCGAACCTCGCACCCCCTGAAATTTAGACTTTAGGAACTACTGAACGCGTTAAATATATGGTAGGATTGAATCTTTTCAGCTATGTATGTGACGGCCACTAAATAAAGATACTTAACTCTAAAATGAAAACAAAGTTAATCCATTGCATATTAAATAGAAATGCCAACATATAGCCAATATCCTATTATTTACCTGGACTTTTCTCGCACCCCCTGGAATATCGTCTCGCACCCCCAGGTTGGGAACCCCTGCACTACAGAATTTGGGACGGATGTAACTGCCAATTTTCCCATCAAGGGTGCCTTTAGATATCTCTTAGCAACTAGTAATATTTTATTTCTATGGCCCAAGATTTCGCTCCCAAATTTACACAAATCACAAGCATATTACCTCTTTTAAAAAAATAGGGGTATTTTCAGTATATTACTTTGTTTTTATTTTTCTCTCCCTCTAGGATGGGGGTCCCCAAACTTGGCCGCATTATGACTTGTGGACTTCAACTCCCAGAATTGTTCAGCCAGCTGGCTGGAGAATTCTGTGAGTTGAAGTCCACAAGTCTTAAAGTTGCCAAGTTTGGAGACCTCTGCTCTAATCTAGGACATCAAATTGGTAGATATTACCTCTTATTCTGTTTTTTTGTTCTTCTTTTTTTAAAATCTTTAGAGCAAAGACAGGATTTGTTTGTTAAGGAAATGTTGTTAAGATTCAGCAGGCCTGTCATTCAAGCGACATCAAATGTAGACAAAATAATATCATTTTCCACCTCTTTCTGGGTCTCTTTGGATTTTTATGCAAAGCTTAGCCATCTGCTTTGTCTCATAATATTCAGTTTACAGGGAAAATCCATGTGCCGTTTTTCTCCTTATTTATTCCAAACAAGATCTGACACAAACAAAATGTCTTTTAGCAAAAATAATTGATGATCAACCCCATTCTGCTAAGCATTTTGCAAGGCAAACTAACATCCATTATCTTTTACTAACATCCATTATCTTAAGAGTTGCCTGGAAGCCACATTTGCTAAAACACCTTATTTGGTTTCAAAGGTATATCCCTGTGTTTGAATGTAATTCAGCTGCACTTCAAAGATCATCTGTAATATTATCTCTTCCAAAATTCAACATTTGGAAAGCTTACACTTCTCTAGAACTGACTCAAATGGAAATTTCCCTGGCTTCAGTAGGCTGACCAAATGCTACAGCCAAACATGTGTAATGAAACTCATTCTGGAAGTCTTCCTACATGTGACAACTGATCTTTTTGTGACACCTATTGATTCCTTCTCTCTCTTTTTTTTTCTTCATACACCCACTCTCTTTCTTCCTACTTCTCTCTCTTTCTTCTTCTCTCTCTCTCTCTCTCTTTCTTCCTCTCTTCCTCTGTCTCTCTTCCTTCCTCTCTCCCTCTCTCTTCCTCCCTCTCTCTTTCTTTCTCTCTTTCTTTCTTCCTCTCTCTCTCTCTCTCTCTTTCTTCCTCTCTTCCTCTCTCTCTCTTCCTCCCTCTCTCCCTCTCTCTTTCTCTCTCTCTCTAGCTGAGAACTGTCAGAACAATGGACTTAACCAAACAGTTCCAAACGAAGAACACCTTCATAATCCTGACAAATGTCTGTCTCCTGTGACAATTGAAAATCAAGGGAAATATGTTTGGAAGTTCCACATAGAGGTTGCTTTGTTTTTTTTAATCTATGTGATGTTTTTGCCTCAAAATTAAAAAAAAAAAAAAGCCATTTGGGAGAGGACACTATTCAGAAGGTCTTTGACCACTCTTTACCTCCTGTTTGACAAATAAGGATTAAACTTCCTGGCTTTATTCAAGAGTACACTAATTTATTCTCCTGCTATCATAACCAAGTAAGAACTGTACTTTATCAATTTAAATTTAAATAAATTTAAAGGTAGTTGCTTGTTCAGGAAAAGAAAAGCTTGCATTCTCTCTCTATCTGACTTTCTGTCTATTTATCATCTATTTATTTATCTATATCTATATCTATCTATTTATTTATCTATCTATCTATCTACTATCTGTCTGTCTCTGTCTATCACCTATCTATCTATATCTCTACTTCTATTTATCTCTCTCCCTCTCTCTCTCTCATCTCTCATCTTTACTACTATCTATAATATCTATTATTGCTCCAAATCTACTTATCATCTATCTCTCATCTAGCTAGCTAGCATCTGTCTGTCTATCTATCTATCATCTATCTATCTATCTATCTATCTATCTATCTATCTATCTATCTAT